ATAATAATAATAATAATAATAATAATAATAATAATAATAATAATATGCAAGACATTAAAAGGGGGACACTAGATAGCAGCTCTAGCGGCACAGTAATTGGGAACTCTGAGGTTATAGCAAATCTGAAAGATGGGGCGAATTACAAGTTCTTGGGAGTGTTAGAAAACTCGAAGCAAGAAGGCAATCTCTTACTGTGGGGTGCGTCAAAGGTGTATCTTCAAAGACTCTCGGTTATTTGGTCGAGCCCTTTATCAGATTTTCATAAAGTGGTTACATCTAACCAGTATGCCGTACCGCTCCTCACCTATCCTACGTGAAGATATAGAAATATAGATAAGTTATAGTGCTTGGGAACGAGGTTATTCCGGGCGAAAACCCTTGGAATTAAATTCGGAAAAATTAATTTCCGACCTCGCTGGGAATCGAACCCACGACCTTCGGAATTGTACTACCGATGCTCTACCAGCTGAGCTAGAGGTCAGACTGAGAGCAGGGGTAAATAGATGTTAAGTCGCGGTAATTATGATGCAAAGATGAGAATATGTGGACCGCGTAGCATGTGGACACAGACATGGCCGCTGTCCGACCTACAACAAATTGACCGAGAGAGTCGTACGATGATCAAGGAGAATGGGGGAAGCCATCCTTCAGTTTCAACCGAGTTTCTCTACCTCCCGAGGAAATGCGGTGGCAGAGGACTGAGATCAGTCGAGTCCGAATACAACTTCACGAATTTCAAGACCGCAGTACAGCCGTATTCGAATCAAGACTTTACAATGAGTTTGGTCAGGGTATTTGACGAGAAGTGCGAGAGAATGGGACAACGTTCTATAACGAAGAACGCTGGTAAGTACGCCGCGGAGATGGGCGTGAACTTAGATTTAAAATACCCTAATCCAGCTTGATATGCTGATTCAAGTGAAAAGATTTGAAAGAATTGGAAAAGTCATGAAGAGTTTCGAACAACGCAGCTCTCAAAATACTGTTTTTTGAATTACTGAGTGACTTAGGCATAGTCCAGTGTACTCCGCCTTGGTACTCCAAGACCACACCAAAATCGAAGTACAAGAACTCAAGAGCGAGCACTTTCTGGGATGTCCCATTGTTTTGCGGAAAACACTGAGGTGAGAGCTAATCGTATCGACGCAAGGATTATGGACAAGAAGGCACGAAGGGTGATGATTATAGAGATGAGCTGTTTTTGGATGGACAATAGAGCGCAAGAGAAGACTACCAAGTATGTGCCGATGCGTTGGGAAAAATTTCCGGACTATAAGATCAAACAGTATAAGATCATTACCGATGTCCTAAAGGGATACTCCAGGCCGACAGCAGAAGCTGTACGAGACTTGGTTGGAAGAAACAGAGCAAAGAACTTTTTGTTTTGCATGCAGAGGGCAGTTATTTTCAGCACTTTAGAGCCCGTGATTCTCTATCAAGGTTTTAAGAAAGATCTTAAATCTTGGCTCTTCCGGCAAGTAACAATAACCATCTTAGCTAATTATCATTACCAGTTTATTCTATGAATATATTATWTATTTATTTTTATTTATTAATGWAATACTGTTTTGTAATTTAAGCTTAAAGTCTGTAAAGCGTTATTAAATCTTGTAGAATTGACGCTATATAAAATAAAGGTATTATTATCATTATTATTATTATTATTATTATTATTATTATTATTGAACATTTCGAGGACTTTTAAGATTATAACCGCATAGAAATTATGAAATTTAAGTCCTATAGCTTTTTATGTTATTTTATTCTTTATTTATATATTATCTTAAAATTCTAAGCATCGGGACTTTAGCAACATTGGAACACGAGGCTACTCAGTCGCTATGGTAGTCAGTGCAGAACAATAGTTATTCTAATTGGTCGCCCGGCATATTTCGATTCGGTCTATACTTACCTCTAGATCCGTACAGCTCAAAACGCATACAAGGTTTACCATAATAACTTTTGAACATGATCTCGACCCATCTGGCGACGACTGGGGTTTCGAAATAATTCTTCATGATAGTATTATGATCATACGGGTTGAAATGGAACTGAAAGAGTTTTAAAACAGAAATTAAAATGAAATTTGCTAATTTGTGTTTCAAAGACGGGAGCATATCAGTTTCATCAGGGGTTTGACAAACCAAGAAAATAAAGATAACACACGACCTCAGGGGGAAGTCTCTATTATTTCGAGGTGTTCGAACGTCGAACTTCATCAAAGAAGACCGCCTTGTTATGCATTGTTTCAATTAGGTTCGACGTTCATGTGAAGTTCGACGTTTGACCCAAGCCTTTAAAATATCTATGCTTCGTGCTCCTCCTAACACTTGTTCACTCTTCATAATCATAATCGCTGCGCTCGTGGTTCCTCTTGAGTTTGGATCATTTTTGACGTCATTTCGTGTTTGATAACAGTACAGACCCATAAAAAACTGACTTCGATTTGTTAAAGGGAGTTTCATTTTACCTCAACTGCGCTATTCCATTGTATATAGTCTGTCGTGGTTGTTACTTGATAACCGTTGATCCAAAAAGACTCATTAGGATGTCCTTGTGAAGCGATTGCAGTAAGAACAGTTGGTATCAACAGATCAACCATCAGGACGACGCTTTTGAAAGAGCTCGAATTAGTGGTACACCATATAGAATCATGGGATAATCTAGCATTGCTGGGAGGTATGTCAAAGCCGGCCGGTTCCATACTTGTGATTTGCCAATCTGATATTTCACCACTTTCCATTCCAAGAGCATTTATAGAATCTGAATAAAAATCATTAAGCTGAGTATTGAATTAAGGGTGGCACACCAAAATGCACTCTACCCTAGGGTCTAGGATCCAGCCTCTAGGGAGTAATTTACAAACTTGGTATTGCATGTAAGTACAGTTTCTTAGGTTTCTCCCATGATTCGAGGGTTTTACTACATTTGCCTTCTTAAATAATCGAGACCCCGTCCACACCTATTAAGATATTTTTAAAAAAAGATTAAAAAAGATTTTTTTCATTTTGTTTTCAGAACAATTCTCGTCCACACGTAGAGCTTTGGATATTTTAAAAAAAATAATTTTTTTCATTTTGTTTCCAAAACAATTCTCGTCCACACGTAGAGCTTTGGATWYTTTTAAAAAAATAATTTTTTTCATTTTGTTTCCAAAACAATTCTCGTCCACACGTAGAGCTTTGGATATTTTWAAAAAAATAATTTTTTTCATTTTGTTTCCAAAACAATTCTCGTCCACACGTAGAGCTTTGGATATTTTTAAAAAAATAATTTTTTTCATTTTGTTTCCAAAACAATTCTCGTCCACACGTAGAGCTTTGGATATTTTTAAAAAAATAATTTTTTTCATTTTGTTTCCAAAACAATTCTCGTCCACACGTAGAGCTTTGGATATTTTTAAAAAAATAATTTTTTTCATTTTGTTTCCAAAACAATTCTCGTCCACACGTAGAGCTTTAGACTCGTTATCGCCCGTCCACGAATATACGTTTTCGAAAAGTTACGTTTTTAAATGGCGTATTGACTGGATAAGTGTGGACGGAAGGCCAATCTGCAAAGGTTTCATCTGTGAGTAAGCCATACTCCTGACTTAGATCACCCCAGAGTTGAGGTTCCTTCAGCTAGAGTTTGATCATGTAAATCAGCAGTGTCCTGAGCGGTCGTTCCCCATCTTTGATCCGCCCCTGGAATCAGTGCAACCTTATATTATCTAAAACTCAAACTATCAAGATTACACTGCGGTTTTTTTCTCCTGCCATAAAATCGAATTGGAATTTCTCTTTTCTTTCTTTCTTTCTTTCTTTTTTTTTTTTTTTTTTTTTTTTTTTTTTTGAGGACGGAGGAAAACCGGAGAAAAAACGTCCGCAAACACAGGAGAGAACCAAAATACAACCCTACTCACATAAGTCACTAAGTCCGGCAGAGGTGAGAGGCGACGCATTATAGCAACCTCGTTAAATAAACGATTACATCACATTAATAACAATATGTAATTGTATATGTAATATGACTCCATGCTCTCCAATTGAGAAATAATTGGGCGAGGAAAATTCCGAGGACTGACAAAATTGGATAAGGCCGTAGGCCGAGTCCAATTTGGCAGTCAGAGGAATTTTTCGAGTCTAATTATTTCTTGATTGGACAGCATGAAATCCCATTACCTGTTAATTATATAGCTGCCTAATTAATCCCATATCAACAAGACCTGTCCAATTAAGAAAACAATTGGACAGTTATCTATATGGGTTTAATGAAGAAGCTGTATAATTGATATATTTAAAGTGGACATACCATTTTGGCCAAAAACTTCAAATGTAAAAGGAACTCCGGTATGAACTAAAGAAATTGTAATCGCTGAATTGAATTGTATCCTGATGTATGCAGCAGTAAAAGGATTTCGGACAGCATCAAGTTTAGTGGTTCCATCGTTATTGCAAGAAAACATCTAGTAATGATTAAAAAATACGATATTACACAACTAAAATAACGACCTCTACAACTGTATCAACGACTACTAATACTGACTGGACTAATCTTATAACAGTGACTAATACTACTAAAGTGATTTTATTTAACCCGTGAAATAAAAATGACTATTTAGTTAGTACTAGTTAATAAAAAAAAGAAAGAAATGGGTTTAGAGTTTACTACTAACTATTATGCGTACTATTTTTTCACGGATTCAATAAAATCACTCTACCAATATCACTTCCACTACCACCACCATTACCCCACCAATACCACCACCACTACCACTACCACACCACCACTACCACACCACCACTACCACACCACGACCACGACCACCACTTCCACTACCACCACCACACCACCACTACCACACCACCACTACCACCACACCACACCCCAACCACTACCACACCACCACTACCACATCAGCACTACCACTAACACACCACCACTACCACCACCGCCACAATCACCATTTCCACCACCACTACCACTACCACACCCACTACCACACCACCACTACCACCACCACACCACACCCCAACCATTATCACACCACCACTACCACATCACCACTAAAACCCCACCACCAATACCTTATCAGCACCAGCACTACCACACCCACTACCACACCCCCACCTCCACTACTACCACTACCACCGTCACTATCACACCACCACTACCACTACCACCACCTCTACCACCACCTCTACCACACCCACTACCACACTACCACCATCACTACCACCACCACTACCACTACCACACCACACCCCAACCACCACACCCCAACCACTACACACCACCACTACCACACCACCACTACCACATCACCACTACCACTACCACCACCACCATCACACCACCACTAACACACCACCACTACCACCACTTCCACCACCACTACAACACCACCACACCACCACTACCACATCACCACCATCTCCGCCGCCACCATCACCACTACTACTCAATTAGTAAGAGATAATTACCTTTGTAATTCCTTTCTCCTGATAGTAGGTCCAGAAAACTTGATCCTTGCTATAAAGGATACTAAAGTTATTTGCATATACAGCCACTCCTCCTTTACTTGCTATTCCGGTAATGATTTTCTCGGTCCCAAGTTTCACCTGTAAAAACCGCGAAGGTGGAGAAGTCATAGAAAACGTGAAGGCCAAGGGTCCGTTTAACCGACTTCGTCCGGGTAAGCGAAAAGGAGACGCAAACCAATCGTTAGGAATTGCAGAGTTTTCAATACCAAGAGGTTCCATTTCAGCTGAAAAAGCATACATTAAGAATGTAAATATACACCAGAATAATGAAAAAACTGAATGGGATTTTTCACAGCGAAACATGAATACAACAGTGAGGAGACCGAAACTGAAAATACAGTGAGAACACTCAAGTCTGTCTGTCTGTCTGTGTCTGTATGTGTCTGTCTGTCTGTGTCTGTCTGTCTGTCTGTCTGTGTCTGTCTGTCTGTTTTCTCTCTCACTTTTTTCAAATGCATACTGTAAATCATTCCTTAAGCCAATCAATTGGCAATTGGTTCAAGAGTCCTCACTGTAATAGTCCTATATATATATTCATTAGGTATTCATAAAAGCAAGCATATACAGTCAATTCAAAAAATGTTGTCGTCGACCAACTCAAGCCTACGCGACAGGACCGAAAGGAATTCTGGACAGCAATCATTAAAGCCGAGTTGACTGCAGTAATTTTATTCGACTAGTTATGCCTGGTTTACAGCACGAACCTTCGTAGGCGAGCGGGAAGTGTTGAAGGAGACGTTTTTTTTAATGCCTTCATATTTTCGGAATTGTGAACTGAATCATAACTACTTTGTTTTTCTTTCCCTAAACCCAAAGACATGCATTTAATGGATTGTTTCTCGCTATTATTATCTTATTACTAGCGGGAACAATTAATTCAGAACGAATATATAACCGCTTCAGTGATTTTTACCCATATTTCTTTCGGTCCAGTCGCGTAGGCTTGAGCCGGTCGACGACAACGTTTTTTTGAATTGACTGTATATTCAGAACAATTCAACCCACCTCTATAACCATACAGTTCGACTCTCATGCAAATAGCGTTAAAGTAATTGAATCTAAAGAACTTGATGATAGAAGCATCAATTTTCGGCTCGAAGTTATTTTTCACTACTCCATCCCTGTCATAGTTTGTTTTAAAGACCTGCAACAAGGTTTGAGATCATTCCGTATTAGTAGAATTCCGCATTCAATAAACTACACAGTATCTGTTTATAGAATGGGGGTACCCTCAGTTAACTACTAATTTTTCGGCTGAATGTCAGTTAACTGTAATGATTTTAAGAGCGCTGGCCATAACATTAACCAAAATAATGAAAAATTAGTTAACTGTTAACTACTAAATTTAGGTTATTTGTCAGTTAGCTACAATTGTTTTGACAAATTGTGAATAAACTAGTAACCCCATTGGCACTAGTCTCCTTCGCATCCGTTTTTAGTGTCAGTCGTCACACAACGCTCCCTCCCCACAATTTGGGAGGGAGCGTTGCGTGACGACCGACACTAAAAACGGATGCGAGGGAGACTACATTTGCACCCTCTTTGCGGATTAATGCAAAAATGACTACGCAATATTTTTATTTTCATAGGACAGCAAAATTTTAAAACGATTTTTAATATATTTTCTGTGATCAGAGTTTCAAATTTGTTGAGCTTATGGGACATATAGCAACAGTAACTAAAGGAAGTCGGAACCATGAATTCAGCATATTTTTTCGTGAAAATATTTAGGAAACTTCATCAACTGATCTTTTAATTAATTCAATTTCTATTGTATCATTATTGCATTGTGTATGTGTGATAACTTTGAAATTTGGAGCTCCAACATTTAGGTTTCTACGGATTTATTGAAAATAATCGGTAAACAACAAAATTCTAAAGACATTTTGTAAAGTTTCATGAAGCCTAAGATGAAAATGCCCCAATTTTCGAAAGACCGGATAATTGAAGTATTAGAAGATAATATGACTCAACTATGATTATGAAAACCAGATTGGTGAAAATTTTAGCCTGCAGTACGTCACTTGAAGTTGAGAAATGACGTCACTTACTCACAACAGAGTTAATTCAGATGCTGAGACAAATTTGATAATTGTTTCCACCACTTTTTACTGTGACGATAATATGTTGCTTGGCTACTATTGGGGCCATATAGATACTACTCTTCCCAGTAGACCGTTACACCCCACGTTTTTTCAACCCATCCAGAGGAGCTTTTAAACCCGCCCACGGCTGAGAAAAATTGATCACGTGATCGCAAATTGTGACCACATGATGAGCTTGTGGATGTACCACGTGATCAAAATTTGACAACGCCAAAAATTTTTGATCACGTGGTACATCAAAAAGCTCATCACGTGGTACACAAAATTTGATCACGCGATCAAATTTTCTTAGCCGCGGGCGGGTTTAAAAGCTCCTCTGGATGGGTTGAAAAAACGTGGGGTGTAACGGTCTACTGGGAAGAGTAGTAAGTTGAACCAAGTTTCAAGTCATTTCCAATTTTCAACGATTTTCATCCAAGTGCCCCTTCAAAGTATCTGTGGTTCTAAGGTCTTCTATTCAAGTATATAGCAAATTCTTACCGTAGTGACTCCATTGGATCCATAAAACGTCCAGTCATCATTTACTCTCTCTTTGTACATAACAGAAACATGTGTAACCCACTCAGACGTCATAGGATCAGGATTACCTTGAGCAGCGAAGGACCGTAAGCGATAGACGAAGGCTAGATCAATATACAGTTCTACATCAGTCAATGCAGCAGCACACCAGCATCCAAATGGGTTGTTCAGTCGGCCACGCCAAGGTTCTTTGCCCATTTTACTGGAGTTTGCGGTGATGGCGCTCTGTCTTATCAAGCCATTGCTTATACCAACAGAAAGTTTGGAATCTGAGGCAAAGAAAAATACACTCAATGTTGGAAAGCTGACTATTTGAGAATACCACAGCATTAAACTACGATATCAAAATGCTAAATATTAGATTTTGCAGGAGTGGTGAAATACAGCATGCTGTTACTGATAAACATGTTAGGATTTACTTTAATCCACTGGTCAATCAAAATATCTGCCTTCGATCATGTGCACGACACAAGGCAGAGAATTGAGAAAAGACCATAATCATGTTTACACTATGAACCCGGTTTTAACATGAACAAATCTTCTCGGGGACAGGGGGAAAGTCAGGTACAAAATTTAATGTAAATTTTCACGTTCTGTTCCGGGGATCGTACAGCGGAAATTTCAATTGACTTGTGCGAACCGCTGCCCGGTTAGCTCAGTTGGTAAGAGCGTTGGTCTGTTGTCTGTTGGTGGTGGTTCGTGTACCGGCCGGATCAGCACTCAGAGTCTTTACTGAGGAGAAGTGCTGCCTTTGTAGTAACAATTACAAATGGTTTGACCTACAACTCTCTTCGGATAAAAACTTAATACCGTCATCTTCACTATAACCCTGTAAAAACGGACAGAAAAGACCCATTGAAGACACAAGTGGTAACGACCATCTTCGGAGACCGCACTTACACTACAAGGTACAAAGTAATTGGTGAGATAACTGTTGTGGTGTCCCTGCCCAAATAAATAAAATAATAAATAAATGATAATAATAAATAAATAATGCGATAACAACTTACCGCAGCCATACAACTCGACGCGCATACAGACCCAGTTTACCCATGTTTTTGGAACAATTCGAACGTATTGAACTTTAATCGACTGGTCTACAATCGTAAATTTTCTGACCGATCCCGATTCCGTACTGCCAATAAAAACCTTAAAAAATAATTGAGTGTATATAAGAATGGGATTAGGCTTAGAGCTTTGGCACTCGCCTCTAACCTATAAAACTCTAATAGGACTCGGATTCCAGGGGCGGATCCGGGGGGGGGGGTGTACAGGTGGTACACGTCCCCCTGCTTCGACTTTGTGCCCCTACTTCGAAGTAACCAATACTGATTTTTCCTTTTAATTCTAAGGGGTGCACCCCCCCGAGTTAACTTTGTGCGCAGCACCCCCTCCCCCCCTGAACAAAATCCTGGAACCGCCCCTGGGGTTCGATTTTTGGATGAGTAGAGTTTGTTGGTACTCTCCCTACATTTGAGGCTTTTTTCTACGGGTTATCCCGTTTTCCTCCATCAGTAAAACCTATATTAGCAAGAAATTTGTTTCAAAGTTCCATTTGTGAGTTAGCCGTGCCCTGACTATGATCAGCCCAGAGGTTGTCTTAGGGTTCCATTTGTCAGTTAGCCGTGCCCTGACTTTGATCAGCCCAGAAATTACTTCAAGATTCGATCTGTGAGTTAATCGGGCCACGACTTAGATCAGCACAATGGCTGGGTTGGATCTGTGAGTTTTTCGTGCTCATTTTCCTATGATTCATTTCCAACACCATGCAAAATGTATAATTTCATAACGAATATAACGAATAATAAAAAATACCTTACGCCTTCTGCCACTCGCTACGACTTCATTCCATTCTATGCCATTGTCACTGTATAACACTGAGAAGCTCGAAACCCATGCAGGCTCGAAAACAAAAATTGTAGCATTGCAGTGTGTTCCATCTGAGCTTTCGATTTCTTTCACTTCGTAGGGACCATCGAGTTGGTAGATGGGTTTCGTGGTGTTTGTATCATTTACATTAGAAGAGGGCGTAGTAGGACTAGAAGATACCTGTTCGCTTAATCAAAAAAAAGAAAAGAAACATTAGGCAGAAAAACCACACAGAAGCATTGTTATATTACTTACAGTGCAACTACGCCAACCAAGGTCACAAATTATCATACAAACTAGCCAATCAAGATCGAGTATTTCAACAATAGAATCTGTACAAATTCTTATATTTTTTCTTTTAAAAGCATATATTTTACTTTATACGAATGTGTGTATGATCAGGAGTAAACAAGAAACAGTTTAAAATCCAGAGTTCATCAATCCATCTGTTATTTGGCGTCAAAAAATCTGACTTGTGAATTTGATTTAAAATTTGTTTGGGTGGCCTTGGTTAATTTAGTCGCACTGTAACCAATTTAAATTCAATTCTTTATCATGCGCCCCTCAAAATCAATGTTTTATGTAACAAATGCTGTATATTAAGGCAAAAGTTTGTCTGTATTCTACATTGAGCTATACTACAAATTGATGCGAACAAAATTGTTCAATAGACCCCTTCACAGTTCCCTACGCCATCTTGAAAGGTAACCGTGCCTTTGCATCGAAGCGAGACGAACGGTGAGCTTGCAATGATAGAGACATGTGAATAATTGTTCAAGGTGTTAAAAAAAGGTCTCTATCATTGCAAGCTCACCGTTTGTCTCGCTTCGATGCAAAGTCACGGCTACCTTTCAAGATGGCGCAGGGAACTGTGAAGGGGACTATTCTATTGAGTCCCGAAGCAACCACTGGGCTAAACTAAGTCGGAGCACAGGTAACCCTCACATCATGTTCTGAAGATAACGTTCTGGTATCTGTTATTTGCAAAATTGGGGTTTATCGGTAGCCATGTGGAAGGAGAAGAACAAAGCAACGGCTGCTTTTGAAGAAAAATGTCTCTTTGCCAAAAATATGTTAATCGAAGTATTATGATCATCCGGGTGGATGTAGTCCTGAGACTGAGGACTGCTTGATGTGACTGACGTTTCCACAACCTGAGCGGAAGTCATCTTCAGAGTCAAGTGAAGAATAAAGAAGAACAAAAATCTGTCAAATTGAAATTTTCCTCACGAATGTAATTTATGTGTTGGAAAATAAGATTCAGTTTAAATTCTCTGCCACTTATCCCAGCTGCAGACACACTAACGATCTGTAAAACCGGGCAAAATTTCTTGACCGCTCTTACCTGCATGGGTAAACACCGCGAGTAGTAAGCTTGATTTGTGGGATGCCTTGAATGGCTATTCCATTGATCAACCTATCAGGCCCTAAATGAAACTGCAAATACGGAAGAGGATCTGTAGCTCTACCCGCTGAGCACCATGATCCATTCCCAAAGCTTTGGTCTAGTCGTCCAAACCATGGGTAAAAACGTGAATCTAGGTAGCTTGATGCTGTGATGGCAGAATCAGGAAGCAAACCATTAGCGACGCCCAGGGTATCTTTACAATCTAAATGGAAATTAAATCGTCATAAAGTAAATCGCTTCAAGAACAAAGGCTTTTATGAGCCAAACCTAAGAAACTTCATCAACTTACAACCACAGCCGTAAAGCTCTACTCTAAGGTTGGACGTTCCTATACTGTCTTGCACATGAAATCGTACCATTCTAGACACGACTCGTTCAGATAAGCTATGAATTGTGAAGTTGAACCCACTTGAACCACTGGGAGAAGTAAAGAAAAGCTGAAGAGAAAACAAAAACTATGTCAGGAGAAATAAACTACAAAGTATAAAACAATGTTAATATGCACATGAATCCTTTAACAATACTTTCAGTACTGATTCAACATGAAGTAAATAGTTGAATTGTAAAGTATTTATTGATTTGAGTGATGCGTCTTATTAAGGTGACAATGACAATGACAATGATGATCAAATGAGTTTTTAAAACTAGAACTAGAACCCAGTCCCTTCTCCAATCTCTTTCTTTCTACATACTTATTTATTTATAGAAATTTATATTTATATATCCTGATTTATTATCAATTATTATGCGTAAATTGAGATATCTTTGCCTTTCAACAAATACTAATATATAAATAAAATTTTTTGGATTAATTTAACGTAGAACTCTCTTACTGTATTCGTTATTCTGTTACGAATAGTTATTAATTTGTAATTTGTAATGTGTATTTTTTTCCATGTGTATCCACGTCATATGATAGCTTTTCCTCTATTAATTTATTGTAATTCAACATAATGTAATGTTCTTGCTTTGTAAACATGAGCCTGCCCCGATTAGCTGTGCTATTTGCAGGCTTATGTATTCTATTGTATATTCTATTAAATTTCATGAAATAAACTGAAACTGAACTGTAACTGAACGGTTTTGAAACTGGCCAATAGTACCTTAAGTTTTCCGTTTTCGAGGTAATTGAACCACTCCAAGCCAGTTTCGGTGAATGCCAAGCTAAAAGCCTTCACGTAGCTTGGTGCTACGACTTGGCTACCGACTGCTGAGACAAATTTTTGAGAACCCATGTCGATTTGTAAAAAAGCTCCTTTCAGATATAAGGATTTCCATGGCCTGTTAACATTAAGTAATGGTTATCAGATATTAAAAATGAGAGGATTTTTAACTGAATTTTTGCTAAGGAGGATGTGGGCATATCTTTGAAAGACCGGTATGTGCAATAAACGTGATAGAGTATGGGGGAAAAGGCAGGGCAATGAAAACAAGGAGATCTACGTACGAGATTAGGGGTCAAATACTTACAGTTCACTGTTAAGACGTGCGTTATAACACAGCCCTAGCCAGGTCAGTGAACACTCAATAGCATTTTTTGGAATGGCTCCATTCTCCATCCCTAAGGGGACTTGACAAGGTACTGCTGAAATGAAAAGGGCAAGGTAGAGACAATAGTCCAAATATTGACGTGTTTCAGTAAAGGTCCGTCGAGTTTCAAAGTGTTTGTATTGTTGAAGTTGTGCATTCTTTACTTTGCCGTTGGTATTTGTGAAAATTTAGACACTGATACGAGGCTAAGCCTGGGTTAATGAATGAGTCTGTAATCAAGGAAGACAGCGGTAATTTGAAACTTCAAAATGGTCTATTGACCCTTTATTATGGAATAGTCCCCTTCACAGTTCCCTGCGCCATCTTGAAAGGTAGCTGTGCCTTTGCAACGAAGCCAGACGAACGGTGAGCTCGCAATAATAGAGGCATGTGAATAATTGTCCAAGGCGTTAAAAAAGGTCTTTATCATTCTCTGCTTCAAAATCTTGAAACTCCAGAAATTTTCTAATTTCGATGTACTCTTTCTTGTTATGGTGTTTATTTTTGAACTAGGGTAATTCTAAATGACTCATTCTCTGTCCTCAACTCGTTTCTAAAGTGGCCAATTCGTTTCTGACTTTTAATTATCGAGACATATATCTGAGGATATAATTTAAAACTGCAATTCCTGCAAGAGATTCGCTGTGTACCGAAAAACACTCCCCTGTAAATGACCTGAGATTATATGATGAAATGGTATTTAAACCAGGATTCTGATTGGACATGCAGCATGTAGATATTGGTACAGAAAATACACAAAATCCGGTTGACAAAATTAAAGGCGCTTACCTGTAGTCAACTTTAAAACATTTGTTTGCAGGAGTATCTGTATAAATGAAAACAGAAAAACGAACTGTTTTTCTACATAACAACTTATTTTTAATAAATCTAATAAATACCAATCAGGGAGAAAGGATTTTGCCTTGGGGGGAGGGGGGGGGGCTCCCTTGCCCCTCTACGCCTCTACAAATTAAATGAATAACACCCTCACATAGACAATTTAAACTAAAAAAATGCTCTGCTTTTCTGCTTTGTCTCTGTTTTGGCGTCAGAACAATTAGAAAATATTTACCAGATTTGATTTTACTTTTCATGGTTTTGAATATTGATAAGGAAGCATAAGTTAAAAGCCCGAAAACCGTTCAACTTCGTATAATTTGCACCGTCTGAAAACTTTCTCAGGGAACAGGACGGAGAAATTACCGTTCACATAGCGTTATATTCAGCATTTTCTCCCGGTCCCGGAGAAAGAGGAGAAAGACTTGCTGTTAAAATTACTACTTCGACGATACGGCTGTCATCTTGCCAGGGGGCAAAAAACAAAAAAAACAAAAAAACAAAAAAACAAAAAACAAGAAAAAAACCCCAAAGATGACAGAAAAAATATATAGTTGCGTTTGTTTGTCTTCTTTTATAAAGGTGATCGATGTTCCGTCTTTATTTATCTTTTTTTGTATTATCAAGTGGTGAGCCGTTAGTATCAATCGACCTCACTACTGCAGCAAATCTTTATTTGCTCCCTGGACGCCCCACAATGCCTTGCGATCCAAGATGGCCGCTATATCGCCGAAGTAGTTCCAATGTGAAGTTGTCTGCTAAAATTATTAAATCTGTTGAAGTACCGTTATATTTCCCGTATCCCGTACATTCACCCTGTAAATGTGCTTGAATTACCCTCCCATTGTCGGGAGTCGTGGGCGATAACAGAGACTTTAAGATTTGCAAAATCTACGACGGAGACGTCATCCGGAAGTGTCAATAATTTCTCTTTGGGGTTCTGTTCATTGGAAATTTCATTGAAAGCATCATTAGTAAAGTCAACTCATCCACAGGGAAGACAGAATTTGAAATCTCAAGGGTAAGTTATATACATTTCCGGTTTACGTCGCCGTAGTAGATTTTGCAAATCTTATATGTAAAGACCCCATACTTACCAACACAACTGCTAGACGCAAATGCCACCAGTACATATTGATTCCTTGCTTTAATCCTAATTCCTCTTTAAAACTTCCAAAAATTGATCTTTGGTTCTCAGTGTTACACCCTATGTATGGAATTGAAAGCGAAACAAGTTAAAAATATATTTAGAGTTTAAACTAGTCACGGCGCCACTTTTTCGAGCTTAATATTACTAATTTTGCAATTTCCAATACATTCCTTTTACACCAAAGTGTAAGGGCTTGGCTAAACGAGGAAACATGTTTACCGCGTGCACGTTTCCCCGCGATGTTTCCCAGTTTATACACATGCAAAATATTGCTGCGTGCAATAAATTTTGCTTCCAAGACGCAAAGATGTTTCTGCTGTACGGCCGAAACATTTCATGCTTCCAAGTCAACATTCTAAAAGTTCGATACGTTCGGAAACATGATTCCTCCTTTGGTGATGTTACACACGACGATGTTACACACGACGATTTTCAGCGTCGATTTTTCGCGATACGCGTTGCCAACTGCTGATACATGTTACACGAGCCGTTTTTTTTGCGCAACATTCCTACGAATTGAACATGTTACACACGACAATTTTTCGCGATTTCCAAATGGCAATGTTCAAACTGAAACACTTCCTCGACCTCTTTTTAAGCTTGTTTGCTTGCCATGTGGAGATCACAAACAAGGCTTTACTGACATGACACGACAAGCAAACAAAAGATGTAAAAAAAAAAAAACAAGCTTTAAAAGAGGTCGAGGAAGTATTTCAATTTTGTTTTGATTCGTCACACTGCGCGGCTTGGGAGCTGGGATCGAAATTGCCATCTAAAAATCGCGAAAATTTGTCGTGTGTAACATGTTATATTCGTAGGAATGTATAACATGTATTAGCAGTTGGCAACACGTATCGCGAAAAATCGACGCTGAAAATCGTCGCGTGTACCATCACCTTAATTGGTTGGAATTCCTGTGGATTTTAGTGCGAGCATGCGCATCTTGAAGACGTCATACGAATTTTTGATAGGCCAAATATCAAGAAAACAAGTCTTTCACTTCTTCAAACTCTTATTGATGGGTTGCAAGCATTCCCAAGAGAGACAAGAGACAAAAACATGGCCGCCATTGTGGTGCTTTAACAATGGAAGGTCGCGATGACGTAAGGTGAGAAGAAATATAATAGCTAAGAATATAAAAGCTCTGAAACAAAGACTGTGGTAGCTCTAAAACAAAGACTGTGGCCCCATTTGTCTCTTAAGACATATTTTCATCTACTTATTTTACACGTTCATGACAAGTTACTTAAGAAATATTTAATGTTGAAAGATTTTTTTTAGATTTTTCATCTACTCAGTCTTAAACTGAGCGTATTCTCCAATATGAATACCATGCGAATTATCTCCAAAACAAAAGCGGTGACCCCCATGCAATTATTTGGCTTATTTTGATATAAACTAAGTATCTTTCATCGAAAAATCGTAA